GAACGTAACTAATCGAAATTAATTACTTTAATGTTATTTATTTTTTTAATTATGCACCAATGCTGAGATGAGCTATTTTCACTTAGAAACATATCGCTATTTATATTTTCAAGTGAAAATCGATGTCACTACTACTTGATATCAGGTTGTCCGAGGCGAGTACCGAACTAGGAACTTCTGATTAAACTTCACTAATCCACGAGGGAAGCCCATGAGGTTTTATTTGGTATAAATAGTTTACAAATATTAACATTTCATGAGGTTTTACTTATTTACTGGTTTTATGTAGTTACTGGTGTATGGCATCGTGCCTTAAGGCAAACTGCTGGAACTTTCCGTACTGTAATAAAATATTCGATGAATATTAAATATTTTCAAATATATTATTATGAATAGTTTTATGAGAAATGTAAAAATCTTCAATTTCGATTTTTAGTTGATTACAATAACTAACTCTAGGGGAAGTTAATTATGGGGAAGTTACTAGTGACCACTGAAAACGTGTATTTGGTGAACAATTGAATTTTATTGTTTACTTATATGAAAGTACAAATAATATCTCGATTCTAATGGCTTCCTAATTATGTGTCGTTTTGTTTAATGAAGTGTTGTAAATAATTGTAAGAGCTCATTAGTTCTTCAATTGTATTGTTGGGAGGCCAACAATACGACCTAAGTATTGTTGGCCTCCCTTGGCTGTCTATTCTGCCCCACCTATGGGGCAAAATTTTTTACTATTTACAAAAAGTAAAAAAACAATCTAATTAGGAGTTAACTGTGAATTTTACTGAATACGTTGTAATAGTTTTTTATTTGTTTTTTTTTTTTATAGTTGCTTAAAATATCATAATCATATATTTTTACTAGTAGTTAGAATAGCATTTTAACATTACTTGTATTCTGAGACCAAAACTGATCTAATCTTACATGCTTATCATCCAGAAGTTTGAAACCATTCTACAATTCAGAATTATATTTATAAGTGTGGTGGTACCAGTTATTATTACTAAAGCTTCTATTCTCAAAATGCAAAAATATTATAAACTGATTATAAAACCTAAATTCTTTAAAAAGATATTTGTTGTCTCAAAAAAAATCTTGTGGATTGGTAATATCGCTACCAATTTTTATTCATACTAATGATGAAGCTTCAACACGGCTTTACAAAATGTATTTTTGTATGTATTAAACTAAATTCTTTTTGAAGCAAAACTTCTTTAGGCGTGACTAGGGTGTAAATAAGAGAAAATGCAACGGAAGTGCGTTACAGCTTACTGATGCGTCATTGGCCAAAGATGTCGACATTCGAAACGAGTCAATGCGATTGGTTCTCATGTCTCGCTCTCGCATATGTATCATTTTGGCAACTATATGTGAATTACAAAATGTGAAATTTGTAATTTTGCTTCTTTTAACGAAGACAGCTGGACACACACATACTTCAATTTTTTAAGGTATGTAAAATGTTCAGAAACCTTTGAAACGTAAAGATATGCAAAATTTTTATTTTCGATTTTCGGCTCAAGAACTATAACTTACCCCACGAAAAGTTAATAAATATTTTTTTATTGAATGAAATAAGATATGAAAGACTTGATCAAGAAATGATTAATAATCGAAAAATCACTTCAACTGTATATAATTACAAATATTAAAAAAACAGATCTTCATGAAATAATTCAAAAACATAAAAATATCTTTTTAAAAAGTTGGTTACTATTAAATTTGATTTTACAAAAATACGAATTTTGTTATATAAAACCGAGAATATAAAATGCTTATATAAGCTCGTATATACTGATGTTACCATGGTATGATATTACAAGATAATGCACGTATCCCCATATATCCAATTAAACATAGATCGAGCTGATTAAAAGTTTTCCGACACCCACGTGCAAAATCGTGTTACTGGAACGAAATGGATAGCTATATAATATAATATTATTAAATTTCGCTGAAAAGGTTCAAACTCTCCACATGTTATTCTCAAATGCAGAATGTGCGTAGGAAACTTTATATTATTTCGCATAAAATATTTGTTTCCTCGCCTTCCGGGCATATGAATCATTATAATTTTATTCGTTGGTGTTTGTTATTGTTTGGCAGAATCGCAATTTAATTAATTTCAAACTGGAACACGTATATATTTGCGGTATAATATGGCTCGAGTTAACGTAGATATGTTAATAACAATGTGGTGAAGTGGATTCAATGAATCAAAACTAAATTGTTGATAGTATTATATTAAACCCGAGAATCCATACACAAACGTGTTTGAATAGCGATCATCTTTGTGAGGTTAGTACGCGGAGTTATATAGAACCCTTAGCAAACGAGGCGAGGATGCATTGAAATTAATAATAAGGAAATATTGCGCCACGAAAATGCAATTAAACTTGTTGTAATACCATAATATCACAACTAAAATCTTAATAATACGTGATATCAAATTCTATGTTAACAGGAAGCAAATACAATTGAAATCGCAACTATATCGATAAACAAAACATAGGGACCGATTATGCCGCATAACAGACCAATGTTATGGTAAGGCCATGTTATGAAGCCATGTTAACTTTCCATACTACATATTGACAAAAGCCATGTGGTTGCTGCACGTCATACGTTTTTCTCAGGTTATCAAATAGAAAACCTAACCTAGAAACTATACAAATGTCAAAAAACGATGATAGATAAAAAGGTCTTTCTGACTCAGCTTCATAACATACGAGTGACGTTGTAGTTTCTGTGTAAAACGCCTGAATGCACAGCAGATACATGACATTTTGACAGTATTCAGTATGATTCAGTAGCATAATGAATGGAAGTAGGAGCGTAAAATGGCCTGGTCATAACATTTGTCTGTTGTGCGGCAGAATCGGGCCCATATTCTTGTTCTTGGCATGACTATTGCAACCGATAAAGGGTTTTTGGCAGTTCGAATTTCACTAGACTTAATAGCCACCAAATTGATATAAGTTATTATTAAGAATGTTCAAATAGATAAATAAATGAAAATATCAACCTCATACAAAATAGGAATATGCTAGTTGATTAATATTGCAAAATCGTAAGTTTATTATCACTATAATATTTTATATAATTTCACTATAATTATAATCACTATAATTTCTAAAAATTGATTTGATTGATTTTTTCATTTGTTACATAGTAGATCTTGTATTTTCCAAACATCAAATATAATTTGAAAGGTACATCCTGAATTTATCTTGTCATTACATTTAAAACTCAAGCCTATTTGGACTTATGGCATTGAACTTTGGGGTTGTGCTAGTAAGTCCAATATAGTTCTCATGCAACGTGCCCAATCAAGGATTTTGAGACAAATCGCTGATGCCCCCTGGTTCATCAGCAATCAAACTATCCACAATGATCTTAACATTCTATATATTGTGGATGTAATTAGCAGCAATAGCCTTCACCATCACTTAAAACTGGAATCACACCCAAACCACATAGTTTCAGCACTACTTGAGATCCCTAATTCTAGAAGACTGAAGAGGAAATTTCCATATGATTTATATTAATTTATTTAATTAACTAATTAGTTAACTGATCAATGGAACAGTTTACTATTCTATTATTATATTTATAATTATTATCATTATTATTATTTATTTATTATTATTATTATTATTATTTTTCTTTTTATAATTTTTATGATTATTATTTCTATCTATTTGTTATTATTATTATAGTTAGTTATTTATTATTATTATTATTATTATTATTTTTCCCCCCCCCTTTACTTTACATTATTGATTTGTTTAGATTATGTCCTCACTGCAGCTCATAGAATTACTTGATTTATTCTGATTGTTACATGTAAATTTAATAAAAAAAAAAAAAAAAAAAAAAAAAAAAAAAAAAATTTAAAACTCAAAGAGATAAAGTTGGTTACCAGGAAATATACAATTCAACATTTGGTAAAGTATATTTAAAGTTAGAAAAGCGCAGAGCAGCATTTGAATATTTTCATATATTATTTCAATAATATTGTTATTATCATTGGGAGAAAAACTTAACATAAAGTTAGAAAAGAAACAGCGTGTCATTTGAAGATTTATTTTAAACCATTTGATTCATTTTCGTGAAAAAAATGCTATAAAATGATGTTAGGGTTAATTTGTTCAAACTGGATTTAATTTAGACAGATAATATATATTTTGATTATCTTACATTAGTTAAAGTAATCTAAACCCACATGCACATCATATCACAACTATCGCAAAAAAAAAGTCCAAGAAAAATTAACTAATCATCAGTAAAATTAATATTTTATTATTATGGGTGGACCTGGCTTTGCCAGAAACTAATCAAAATTTTTTCCCATCATTACGAATTTAATGTTTTTTGGATAATTTAAATCGGATACTCCGTCCTCTCAGAAACTCGATTTCTATTTTTTGCACTCTTTACTCTGTAACGACTGGACCTACCTTTGCCAAAAACTAATCAACACATCTCCCTATCAAAAGGAACCGAATGTTTTTGAACCATTCAAATCGGTTGATCCGCATGCCCGAAAACGTGGACAAAAAACTGCGGACACAAAATACAAACACACTATGGGCATTTTAAGAATTGCGTAAGTTCATCAAAAAATGCTTAATTTAGAAACACTGATTACAAAAAAAAAAATCACGCGAACATAGCGAATATATAAAAGTTTCTCTTAATTTCTCCATACTAAATTTTTGTTACGAAAAACTAGTCAAGTCTGGAAATTTGGATACAAAATATGATACTAAACACATCTTAGTAATATCCTATCAAGATCAAACATTTTATCAAAAAGATTACCTAATATAACAAAATTACACCCTTTTATATTTACAAACTTTATATTAAAACATTTGCTCCAAAATTTTCCTATTTCCCCAAGCAAACGAAATCTCTCTTCTAACTCTTAGAGAAGAAAACTTGTTATGCTCGGTAAAGTTTCGGTATTTCCTAAAACATTCCACCTCACTCACCTGAACACGTAGCTTCCCGCTTTGGTGATGTATTTCTGCAGGCGCGCTTTGACTTCGTCGTATGTCAGGAACGCTACGTAGCCCGGGTGCGTGACGGCCAGGATCTGCCAGTTGCGCAGCAGCGTGCCCCACGGTTGAAATAACCTGGAAAATAGAAATATGGCATAACAGATTTTATAAATATTAACTGTAGTTAGACGATGATAAAAGAGTGCGCGTAAGGTTCACGCGATTGAAGTAAAACTTATTTGCTACTGTAAAATATGACATATGACTGGTCTCTAAGAAAACATACTTATTGTGTTTTTAAGTTAAACAAATCTAACTACAGCTGTTAAATAAATTTATAGATATTGTCAAATAACAAGATATATTAATTTTTAATAGTTTTTACAGTATTTTAGCGCAATACTCAATAAAAGTGTCCGGCAGCACCCACTTGTTTGGGCGTAAAATTACAGCTAACGACGTGTTTTTAGATTTTAATTTCAATGTCATATGAATAATTGAAAAATAATATCGGTTATTGCATTTATACCCTTCATGGTATATGTTTCAAGAAGTTTCATTACTACAAATTCGCTTAGAGGGGTTGATTTTTCGTCTTTCCCTAAATACAGGAAACCATTTACCATATATTTTGTTTCTACATCAGATGTCAGTCAGAATTTTATGCAAATTTATAAAGTTTCTTTGGCATTTACGGGCCAAATATGCTTCTGGCCTTCGTTGGAAAATGTTATTCAACCAAAGTAATATGAGCTCCCGCTTTGAAGCAATTTTTGCTATTTTCTATAATTTGTTCCAAACCCGGGCTTTTTCTATAAATTTGGCCTGAGTATATGTTTGTAAGCTCTTTGAACTTCTAATCTACCTGCAAAACCTATTTCACTTTACTACAACTCTTGTCCAAATAGTTTCGTCCAAACTCATTTTAGTTTCCTGATTTGGTGCATTACTTCCAAATTCGTCTTCAGAATTGGAGGAAAGTGGCTCACATCGTCTCATACGTTTGTTTGTAATATCTATCCATTTACTAACGTACTTGATCCATCTGTATTGTCTTTATCAAGAAGTTTTCCCATTTCTACAGCCGATAATAGCACTGCCTTGTTGATTGATTTGTTTATCTAAAAATTCACCGCCACTATCATATATTTCAAATCCTAGGTCCAAACATTTCAGAAATCCGCTGATTGTATTTTCCAAATAAGCTATAAAAACATTGTTTCCATTCTTTTTTCGAAGACTGACAGTCGCTATAAAAATAGGTCGAAACCATGGCAGTTTTCTCGTATAGAGTTTTTTTTTACTCAAGAATATATTTTTGAAAATTTGTGTCCACGCAAATGTTACTTACTTGTAGCAGTGTACAAAAAGAAGAAATAATTATACTTGAAAATCACTTTGAATAAAATTTTATTTAGCGTGTTGAACAAAGCTCGAAACAATTGTTTTGTTGGTAAAAATGTAGTAATACTTCAGCAAGCAATACAATGTAAAAAAGGATGAAGAATAAATAATATATATTGTCGTCGATAAGAGAGTAGGCGATAAACGCATACGATCTATGGCTATTGTTATTTCGGTTCCTTTATCAAACATTTTCTATAGAAACTTGCACCAGTCATTTTGACTGGTGCTGGTACAAGTAGTAGTAACACAATTTATTTTTGTTACTAATATATATAAAGTAACTTTGAATGCACGAAATGATTTCTATACTTATAACTTAAAAAGTCATAACTTCATTTCACAAAACAAATTTTACATATAATGAGAATTTTGAATTGAAAGTGCCCAACCAGTCATTTTGACTGGCGTGGTATATATCTAGTGTAAATAAATACATCATATAACAATTTTGAATAATGTTTATTAGTAATGTGGTAACACTCATGAAATACATATCTATTAGTGTTAACCATTATACACATAATGATAAATTATAAATTATATATTTATAATATCATTAAAAATATGCTTCAAATATGATATGATCGGTTTGTCATTGTAATTAGCATTATGAAATGAACCTTCGTTAAAGAAATAAAGTAATTGCTGATTAATAACTTCTATAATAATTCGCTCACACAGTGGATTATGTTAAACAACGCCTAAACAAATATTCGCAACTACACTCATCACGTAATTGTGTTTAACATAATTATAAATATATAGTCATAACTGTAGTTAGATTGAAAACATAACTATAAATATATAGACAACCCGCCGATAACGCAGAGCGTAGATTGCGACGGTACTCCTGTAACACGGTGTTCAAAAGCCCATAAGTTCCTTTTCCGCACTACCTATATAGATGGAATTTCAAATGTTTTCACATAGATTATTATAAATGAGATAACTTTCATTATTGAAGTAAAACTTCTTTCGGCGTGACTAGGGTGTAAATCCGTACAAATGCAACGGAAATAGCATTACGCCCGAACTATACGTCGTTCGCTCTCGATGAAATCATTCCAAAACGGGTCGATTGTGATTAGTCGTCGTGTATGTGAACCTGTCGTTGTATGCATACCGATATCAATAAGGCAATCGACATAAATAAAAATTTTAAAGTTACATCGTAGTACAAATCTTGATTTAATGAAAAATGTCTGAATCAGAAGAATATTTTCTGTTCCTTAAAAATAATAAAACAAATTAAACATTTGTGTCGTGTACTAAACTTAAGTTTAGTGATTAGAAATTATTTCTATATTATTCGTAGTTTCTATAAATCGTTGTAGTTATTAAAATGAAAAATATTTTTAGGCAAGATAGATACTACAGCTGTTCAAAGAATGAGATTATATCGCCAGCAAAAAAGTAAAAAAATACAAGCAGTCAATGAAGGTATGCTAATTTTAATAACATGAAGTTCTTCAAACACAATTACATAATGAGTGAAGTTGCGAAAACAATAATTGTTTAGGCGTTGTTTAACATAATCCACAGTCTGAACGAATATTACAGAATTTATTAATTAGCAACTACTTCATTTCTCTAATGAAGGTTCATTTCTAAATGCTAATTACAATGACAAACCGATCATGTCATATTTGAAGTATGATCATGTAATGTTTTTAATGCAATTATAAATATATAATTTATAATTAATCATTATATAAATGTGTATAATAGAGCTTTGGAATTTTTACTAAAATTAAAATAAAATACAAATCATTCTCAAAACATATAAAATCTGAAACTAGTGGTGCATGACATCGTGCCTTAAAGCAAATTGCTGGAACTTTCCGCACCCAAAACTAAAATTTTTATAAAATCTTTAATTTTTTTGAAAACGTGCTGCGTGGCTGTTTTAGAGAAGAAATATCGAAGCGCGTAGGCGCTGCATCGCAGTCTAACGGATAAACATTGGTACAAAGCCCATATAAATATGAACAAATATCATACTTATTATTAAAATATGATAATTTGATGTGATATGTCCAATGATCTTTTTTGACCGCCAAGCAGTTTTTTTTTTACTTTTTTTACTTGATCTCTGAAATCGCAAAAATTTAAACGGAACTTTATTTTGCCAATACAAATAAAATGTTTTTTGAATTATTCTAATCGGACGCTCCGTTCTCTTAGAAACTGAATTACCATTTTTAGTTCTTTTTGCCCCGTATCTTCGAAACGGCTGGACCTATCTTTGTCGAAAACTTATCAACACGTCTCTTCCTTATCATACACAGACATACACACATGCCCACATACATCAATTTTTTTCCAAGGTATGCAAATTGTTCAGAAACCTCTAAAACGTAAAAATATGCAAACATTTTCATTTTCGATTTTTGGACGAATACAATAACTCACCCTACGGAAAGATAATAAAATTCATCAAATAGCTGATTATTATAATAAAATTCGTCAAAATCACAAATACTAGTGTTTGCGCCATATCAAAGGGTGCGACTTATGTTGATATAAACAGGGAATAATCAATCCAAAATTATATAAAAAAATGAAGTCAATCAATATCAATAACTTGTAATTAACATAAAATAAATACATAAAGTTACAAATTAAAGTGTCTATAACAAATTTGGTCCTTCAAAATTCAATCAAACAATCATTGAAAAAACAACTAGTACTAGTATATTTCAAAGTAAACTTTTGAAGGCGCGATACACGTTTGAATTACTACTTAAACAAGACTGCGACAATGACGCTCAACATCTGACAGGATTCTGATTATAGCTTCCTTCGTGTCGCGGAAACGTTAATAAAACTTGAAATAATGTCACTGTGTCATTTTGTCCATTCATATCATTTTGTTCACATTTCTCCTATTTGTTTTTCTTGTTTCTTGTATGGTTTCAGAATGCAGAATACAATTATTTCAAATAGCAACCAGGCAATATCTTGCTTGCTTTCAATTACGTGATGTTAAAAAATGCTCTTGAGATAATTGGCGTTCGTTTAGAAATATTACAATAAAAGTAAATACGTTGAAATACATTAAAAAGCTCTTACACGATCCGTCATACATAAGTAATACTTGATATAAAGGTACATTTTTATTCATAATGTTTCAAGTTAGCAATTATTTTTAGTGAAAAGTTATAGACTAATATTAACATAGCAATGAAAATAATTTTTTTTTGTGATGGTGTCTTGTAATAATTTGGGAAAACAAAACGCGAATTAATAATAATGTAACATGATTTTAGATATAGGACACTTATTCGCAATCAGTTTTTACGAACAAAATTTTTAATCCAATTCCCCTATGATCATATAATGTTGCTTATTATGGTAAAGTTTAAGCTATGGAAACATTAATGTGTAATAATTTTATACCTTTTATATAAATTAATTACAAATTTATTTGTCCATTAATATGAACTTGGTTGCATTATATATATATTCACATAAATATATTAGCACTCGCACTTAATATTACAGATTCAAAATTGTTAACCAACGTTTATTTATTCATTATTAATAGGCCATTTATCTTAAATATTGTTTCAAACCAATTTCAATCATAAGCAAATTAAATAAACTAGTGGGATGCATGGCATCGTGCTTAAGGCCAATTGCTGGAACTTCCCGTACCGTAATTAAAAATCTTGGTACGGAACCTAAGAAAAATTACACAAAATGTGTACACATTATAAAAATCTCTATAAAATATCTGATAATTTGATGTGCATAAGTCTAATAATAAATATTTTTGACCGCCAAATAACATTTTTTAACTTATTTTTTATTTAGAGTCCATAACTGCTGGACCTGCCTTTCCAAAAGTTCAATCAGTTCTTCATCTTGTCAATACAAGTAAACTGTTTTTTAAATTATTAAAATCGGACGCTCGTTTCTCGTAAAAACTGAATTACCGCTTTTGGTACTTTTTTCACAATATCTTCGGAACGGCTAGACCTGCCTTCGCCAAAAACTAATCAGCAATTCTCCTTATCAATACGAATCGAATGTTTTTTGAATGATTCAAATCAGTTGATCCGTGTACGCGAAATCGTCGACGAGAATTTGTATCCAAAAACCCGCGCGCACGCATGCACACACTAACGCATCCATCGAAAGAAACCTTTGAAACATAGAAAGATATATAAAAAATGTGTGTGCACATTCAATATGTGAATGTGTGTATGTGTGTGTGTATTTATATGCATGTGTGGATACAATTTTTCGGCCACGTTTTTGGGTGCACGGTTCAACCGATTAGATCGATTAAAAGAAAATGAACTAATGGTGAATGGCATCGTGCGTTAAAGCAAATTGTTGGAACTTACCGTACCGTAATTAAATATTCGAGAAATATGAAATGTCTTCAAATACAGTAGAACTCCAATTATCCGAATTAATGGGGACCGGGACCCATTCGTATAATCAAATATTCGAATAATCGGAGTTTTTTTTAAAAATTGCCATTGGAGAGAAAAAAAGTAACGTTTTGATATTGCACTATTTTTTTATTGAATTAAATGAAAGAAACATGACATTTTCACATGTTTTAAATATAAATAAACTGTACTTAAACGAGTTAAAAAAAAAAATGTACAAGTTTAGAAATAAAAATCATTGTTTTGTAAACATCTCCGTCAAATCAAAACAAACAATGTGCCTACACTGGCTTTGCTGGTGGAAGAATAATAGCGCACTTAGACTTTTTTTTGGACATTTTTTTTCTGAAAGTGATTCGGATAATCGGCGATTCGGATAGTCAAAGTTCGGATAATTGGAGTTCTACTGTAGCTTATTTTTTAAAATATTGTAACTTAAATAGGTTTACAGAAAATTAAATAAACAACAAAACTTAATCAATCGAATTTAAAATGAAGGACATTGTCTAATATTTATAAGAATTATATAAACTGAATTGAAAAGTTGAATTTATTATTAGAACTTTAGTCCAAATTAAAATTAAAATCTGAATTATTTTCGATATACAAAAAAAATTAGAAAAAAATTTTTTTTAATTAAAACAGATTTTTTTCCAAGATCAATTATTTTGTTAAAACAAGCAGAAGTTTCTTGAATCATTCAAATCACACGCTTAGTTCTCTCAAAAACTGTAACTTTTTGCACGTTTAGCTCTGTATCTCCAAAACCGCTGGACCTGCCTTTGCCATAAACCACTTCTCTCCGTCATTACGAATTAAATGTTTTTGAGATCATTCAAATCGGATGCTCCGTTCTCTCAAAAACTCGATTTGTATTTTCTGCACTCTTTGCTCCGTATCTCCGAAACGGCTGGACCTGCCTTTGGCAAAAACTAATAAGCACATCTCCATATCAATAAGAATCGAATGTTTTTTAAACCATTCGAATCGGTTGATCCGTGCGTTCTAAAACGTAAACGAGAAATTGTATCCATACATACATACATACACATCCATTTTTTCTAAGGCATGCCAAAACGTTCAGAAACCTTCAAAACGTGAAAAAATGTAAAAAATTTCAATTTCGATTTTTGGACGATTGCAATAACTTACCCTACGGGAGTTAAAAAGAAATAATATCAACAAATATAGATACAGATTTAGTTAAGTAAATTGTAATTATGAACATATTTTTGGTTCGTCAAGTTTATGGCCATAAAATGTAAAATATTGAGCTTAATATGCATACGGAATTATATCTAGGAACATTAAATTTGTACGGGAAACAATGTGAAAACTGTCAGGTATTCGTATAATTTAAAGCTTACATTAAGACTTTGTGGTGTTGGGTAGAACATTCTACGTGTATTCAAAATCTTATGGTACAAGTCGTATAATAAATTATACGACTTGTACCACTTCCACTGAAGATGGCAAAATTCAATTGTAAAACAAAGTCATGGTATTGAAGATTTTTGTAAATTCTTGCATTTTTAACTTTCCGTAGTGTAAGTTACAGTAGTGGGCCAAAAATCGAAAATGAACATTTTTACATATCTTCATGTTTCAGAGGTTTCTGAACATTTTGGCATACCTTGAATTGAAAACTGGTGTGTGTGTGTTAGTGTATGGGTGTATGTTGTATATATGTATGTATGAATACAATTTTTCGTCTACATTTTTGGGAGCACCAGTCGATTGATTTGAATTATTCAAAAACCATTCGAATCCTATTGATAAGAAGACGTGCTGATTAGTTTTTGCCAGAAGTTGGTTTAGCCGTTTCGGAGATACAAAATAAAGAGTACAAAAAATAGAAATGGAGTTTTTGAGAGAACGAAGCATCTGATTTGAATGATTAAAAAAATATTCAATTCGTAATGATGGGAAGAAGTGGTGATTAGTTTTTGGCAAAAGCAGGTCCAGCCGTTTTGGAAGTACCGAGATAAATGTGCAAAAAATAGCAGTTTCTGAGAGAACTAAGCATCCGATTTGAATTATGCAACAAACTTTCTGATTGTTTCGACAAAACAATTGCTTTTGAAAAAAAAAAACAGATTTAAATGTCTAAAGCAGAGGTCTGGAAACTTTTTTAATTATTACCCCAAAATATTTTTGTCTAAGTTGAAACTACCCTCATGACAAAAAAAGATTACAGCCATACGGAAACTGCGTAGCAATTACGGTAAATAACAATTAAAAATACATACTTTTTACCTGCAAAAATTTCATTTTTATCCCATTTGGGGTAATTTACCCGGGTTTCCTGACCACTGGTCTGAAGTTCTAAAGCTCACTTATATAATTCAAATAAATAATTTTACCTTTGTCTTTTGACAATGTCCTTCAATTTAAATCCTATTGATTAACTTTTGTTTATTTACGTTTGTGTTATACATATGTAAACGTAGTCGTCCAATTTATAAGCTCTTATATTTTGTCTATGAAATACGAATAATGAAATTTACAGTATTAATAATAATATATCCGAAAACATTTAGTTCCAGCAAATTGCCTTGAGGCATGATTCCATAGACAACACTAGTTATTCGATGTAACTGCCATGAATATTTTATTGAGAAAAATTTAATGCTAAATTAAAATAAATTTATAAATAACGTTTCTAGTATGATGAATCAATGTTGATACATACAGTACAGCCTCACACACACACATATAAGCAATCAACATATCATCATAAGCATTTAGATCATAAGCAATTTCACAAGTTTTTCCATTATATTTGAAAGCTTTTCGAAATTATTTTCTACGGTTGTATATATGAAATTTACCTCGTAAAGACGTCGAATTCGAAATTGGAAATAAAGTCGTTACAAGTGAGATCTATCGTGGATTTGAGCGCGAGTGCCTCTAATCCGGACGATATAGGGTGGACAGCGTGAAGCTCTTGTCGGAACAGTTTCCAAGGGACCAGAGTGCTGAAAAGTAGAAAGATAATCGTATTATTACATTTGTACTCCTTATATTTTATATGAGTAATAACATTTATAGAACATATTATGTCTTATTTAAAATGTAGACACATGGTTATACAGAAAACCTAGCTTTTCAAATATTTTCATTGAAATGATATGACATTGCTAGTTATCTTTTACTAATTTGAATTTGTATTTGTTGCCATCGTTATTAGAAATTAAAAATATATATATATATATATATATATATATATATATATACTAGCTGAGCCGACAAACGTTGTTTTGCTAAGTGAGGTATATTCTAAACCATTTCTGGAGAATTAAAAATATTAATACTTTAAGTGTATAAGGATGTGTTGTTTGAATGCTATATACAATAAGGTATTATAAACCCCATTAGTTTGTCTATATTTTGTCAATACAATCAAACTGGAAGTTTTATACACTTTCTATAGAAAACATGGTATAATCCATTCCAAGTCTTTTTTGGTCTTTTGACTTTTTGATTGCGTTTCATGTTTTTCAGATTCTTTTTGGATTCTGGATTTTGTGTATAATTGTAAATAATACTTACTGAGCTTATACAAAATTTTCAAATTTCTGCGAGAAGAGATAGAAAATGAATTAAGTATTTCTTCTTTGCCTGCTTTTTTGAAAAGTTTCAAGTAACATGCGATGAATTAAAGTAAATTTAATAAAAAGTATATTTGTAGAGCAGGGCGAGGCACGAAGGTTCAATTTGACTTTGACTAAATATAAACTATATTATGAAAACCAAACCAATTATATCACAACAAATAGCACATTTCAAACGAATAACTATCTGACATTCAGTAAAACTGCCAGCTACTTCATCATTGTAGAAATGTGCTTTTTGATGTATTTCAAAAATTTGTTATCTAGAGCTTTTTACCCTATAGGCGGAGTAACTTGGAAAGGCCTGGTGGCAAACAGGTTTGATGTCTTATTTTAATTTTGAAGGTATTTTACAAAATAATTACATTTTCAACTAATGCTAATAAACTACCAACGGAAGAAAATACTTTTATTATGGATTTTCAAAGGTTACCGTTTATTCCCTGATAGCAAAGTCATGAGAATCAAGGTTATAGCTGATTATACATCTTTTTCCCTCTACTTTAAAATAATGTTGTTAAACAATGCTTAACTTCACTGGTTTTTGACACATCGGTGGTGAACCTTTTTAACCCCCGGACCTTCATATATAACATTCTACTTTTCGATAAATTCTGGGAAATTATAACTGGGAAAATGTTATTCGAGAAAATGTCCCTTTGATCGATACCAAATAAAGGTTCTGAATTAAAATAATATAAAAAAAAAAAATTTAACCTAGAAAATGTTTTATAAATACCAATGAGTATATAATTATACAGATGAGATCTTTCAGAGCACCGTGTTTGAGAAAAATATGCCAAAAAGTGCATTTTCATATTAACATTTCAAAAAAGTTGATATTTTGATTTTCTATCAACACTTGCGGCCCGTTTAACAACGTTTTTGTATATAACTACAAACAAAACTACTTACTACAATTTGATCAAAATTGAATAATATTCACCTAAAACATCCTATTAAACGTAATTGAACATCATCTGTCAAAAACGTTTGACGTTTCACGGATTAGTCAACCGTTCATTGTTTTATTTAATTTACGCTTCTACAAAAAAATGTCAAATAAAAAATATAAAGTTTCTACGAGATTTTGAAATATTATCTCACCTTTCCGACCATCTCTGGATTGGCACGAATTTTTCAAGACTAAGACTGGCCAAATCGGTTTAGCCGTTTTCGAGTTTTACCGAATCATTTGATCGAGAGCTCCATTTTTATATATAAGATATATATATATATATATATATATATATATTAATTTATCAGAGACAAAAAACAAAATATTAATAATATTAATAATAATAATAATTCCTAAATTTCCAAATTTTCATAACCTAACTTTCACACACTCACAACGATTTACAATTTGTTAAAACAAACCGTTTCCTACAAAAAAAATATTATTTTATCTCCTATCCCTATTCCTGTTCATTCCTATTTGATATTTCATGACTCACCAAGTTGACCTTGTACAGATGTTTCAGTCGCCTACAATTCGTTTGGCAGGTTCACCCAGTAAGCGGAACAAGTTGGAGCAGTGAACACATAGTGATACATTCATATTTTAGATATTAAATTATAATACACTGATGATGAGACAAACCTAGTTTCGAAACGTTTGTAAAATTAATATTATTTAATGAATTAGTGCAAAAAAGAGTGCTGTTTGTTCACATTTCAAAATTAATATCTAACCACTCGATTTTTAATTAGAAACTATTCCCCAAAAATCAGAAGTGAAATATTTGTACTTGTAATATATTTGTTATTGATGTAATTGATCAATGTAAAATAATTGGTTATTCTTGTTTGAAAATTATTTGAGTAGAAAGTGTTGACTTTCCAATCTATAATTACCTCTGAATACCTTATTTTCTCTGTTTTTCTATATTTTAAAAGAGTTTGTTACAAATAACGTCGTTTTTTATAATTTAATTCATGATTCATAATTTACGAAACGCCTTCGCTCTTTGCTACGATTATAATTAACCGTGCGGCACGAACTCCGCCCTCACATTTTCCCTAATGGGGAAATTTACCTTGACGATATTTTCAAGAAAACTACGCCTTTGTTTTCGAAATAACTTTATATATGACTGTATCATTACAGTTTTACCCACAATTTCCTTGGAAAAGCAATTTCCTAATATGAAGCCAAGTGATAACGTTTTATTATATATAGTTCTCGGGAATATAAGAACTATTTTATAGATATTTTTATATGTAATCAACTTTTATTCATCAATAATATTTATTGTTAGTTTATTCTGGTTTAAAATAATGTACTATCTAATGCAACTCGCAGGAAAACTAGTGTTACATATCATGGCAAAAAAACGATTTTTTTGAGGATTTTTTGGAAGGCAATAAATATTTGAAACGTAACATTCAGATTTTATAGTTATATATTTCAACATTTTTCTCAAATAATATCCATTATTAATAAAATAATATGTTCATTTTCAATGGCAAAAGGAAACTGATAAATTAATCACGAAAAATATCGATAAGAAGCTTAATTTCAAAATTTGATTCTTCTTATTTCGACTATTATTTGGATGAAGAACTAAAAGCCCATTAAAAAGTAAAAAATTAAAGTAATATTCATTGATGAAAAACAGCAAACACATTCAGCAGTAAACAAATTAATATTTATAATTTCTAAATAATAAATATCAGAAAAAATAAAATTCGCAGAAAATCTTTTCCTAATTACATTCACGAAAATAATTAAACATTCACAAAAGCAGCAGTACAAAGATCGGTTCTTGTAAAAGCTCTCTGAAGTTCATGCATCTAGTAATTGAAACATTATTCAAATTGGCTCCTCATACATATTCTGCGCTTCTCTGGATTAAAACATGAATCCACATACATGCATAAATTGTGTAAATTGTTATCCCAACAATAATTGAGAAATCAGAAACTAACAAATTTAATAACCAAACTCATTATTTTGTACTAACATGAAATGGCATATAAATCGTACAAATACCTACTCTAGGCCCATTTTGTCTGGAAACATGCCGATACAATTTTTGAAATTGCTGTAGCTGTGAAGACTAAAGGTCAAATTTTGCCACACACATCTGATAAAGTAATCAGAATTTGTTTTAAAACGATTCAGAACAAGTTAATGGGGTTGTTCGTTTTTTTTTTACAAAAAATGCAAGGTATTTGTTTTTGTTTTTCTCGAAATGTATTTATCATAGTGACATATTACGAATTTTTAACTTACCGTAGGGTAAGTTATTGTAATGGGCCGAAATTCGGAATTGAAATTTTTTACATTTCTCGACGTTTTGAAGGTTTCTGAACATTTTTACATACCTCAGAAAAAATGGATGTGTGTGTGTGTATGTATGCATGGATACAAATTTCCAGTCACGTTTTCGGGCGCACGGATCAACCGATTTGAATGGTTCAAAAAACATTCGATTCCTGTCGATAGGGAAAAGAGCTGATTAGTTTTTAACAAAGGCAGGTCCAGCCGTTTCGGAGATACGAAGCAAAGAGTGCAGAAAGATAGAATGATTGGAAGAAGTGTTTATTAGTTTTTGGCAAAGGCAGGCCCTGCCGTTTCGAAGATACGGAGCTAAATTTGTAAAAAATGGCAGTTTTTGAGAGAACTAAGCGTCCGATTTAAATGATTCAACGAAATTTCTGCTTGACTTAACAAAATAATTGATTTTGGAAAAAAAATTTTGTCCCAACTTTTTTTTTTTTTTTTTAATTTTTTGTATATCGAAAATAATTCAGATTTTATTTTTAATTCTGATTATAGTTCTAATATACTTTACAAATAATTTCAAATTTGCAATTCAGTTTATATAATTCTTATAAATTATATATTATATTTATATTTGAAAACATTCAGTATTCCTCGAACATTTCGTTACGGTACGGGAAGTTCCAGCAATTTGCCTTAAGGCACGATGCCATAATTGCCTCATGACAGAATTCCACTTACAGCTAGTTTTTCTTTTTTTTGCGCCGCCTTTTTTTAACCAGGGGGCGCCAAAGTCGGCCTTGCAAAATCGATCTCTTTTGCGGTGCCACAGATAAATCCGTTGCGCATCGCCCGAAATAAAAAAAAAGAAACTATGTTGAAGAAGAAGTTTGAATCCAGTCCCCCAAAATGAAAGAAAAAAAGCAAGAAAGAAAAAAATGGCAGCTATTTAAAAAAGGCCTTTTTTGGGGCGAGAAGCTTCGCAAATTTTTTTTGCGTAATGTTATCACGTTGTTTGTGGTAGGGGAACTAGGCATTGCAGTGGTGAACAAATTAAAAAAAATGCAAGTCGATCCAACTTGTAGTTTTTTTTTAATTTGTGGCACCGCATTGAAAAAAGTCAATTTGAGAAAAACGTATTTAAAGTTTTTAATATAATGTACTAAATACACCATTTAATTTAATGTACTAAATATACCATGGTGTTCAAAGATGCTGACACATTAAAAATGTCATGTGCATAATGTATTATAATAAAAAGGAGAGCAGCTGGCATACAATAGCTCACGGAGCGATGAAAAAAAACGGTTTCAGAGGATCATATATATAGAGATATAT